CTAAGTCTTGGCACCTCGTTATGGCTGTCCAGATGGTGTCGTAATCATGTGCGGGGGCATTGACACTACACTGGGGGGTTGTGACACTACAAGGTTAGGAGGTGAAAGAGCCTTAGGCTCATCACTCGGCTGAATTTACTGGTCGTGTTGACGTCTTGGAGTCTAGTTATTCAAAATAAACAAATTTCACTGGCGGCGATCTTGAAATCCAAGATGGCTGCCATCCTGTTTTTCTAAGTGTCATAACTGGGTTCTCCACTATCCGAAATGTGGGTTTAGACACCAAAATTATGTCTCTACGACGTCTTGGAGTCTAGTTATTCAAAATAAACAAATTTCACTGGCGGCGATCTTGAAATCCAATATGGCCGCCATCCTATGTTTCTCTAAGTGTGATAATTGGGTTCTCCACTATCGAAAATATGGGTATAGCCACCACCATTATGTCTCTACGACGTCTAGGAGTCCAGATATTTCAGAAAATCCATTTTCGCTGGCGGTCATTTTGGATTTCAAGATGGCCGCCACAATACGCAAAAGTCAGCCTGGAAACATACCCAGTGGAACTCCCCAAGTATCATAGAAATGATATTTACCCGTTTCCAGCCTCTACCCAAAAAGTTTAGGCTCATCCTTATTTTAGCTCTTTTTTGAAATCTGCCCCCTGACTACCATATTACTTGCGCACTGCTGGGCTCAGCGAGTGACGTTACACACGCAAATTATAACATGCCACCAAGTCATAAAAACATGTATTAACCGGTTATTACAGCCTCTGATCTTGAAACTGAGTAGCATAAATGGGAAACCCCTATGTTATTGTTGGATATTGTTAAGAGATAACCATCAGCGCCACCTATGTGAAGCGATGTAAACGCGGGAACTTAATAAGGGTGCATACTCTGGGGAACTCGTGTTGTTTTACCACCACCGCTGCGCAAAGATAATACTACAGGAACTGCATAGTACACACTCTGGTGTTGTCTGGATGAAAGCCATTGCACGTCAGGAGCGGATCCAGGGGGGAGTTCGGGTAGTTCAACTGAAACATAATTTTAATTAGTCCAAGCCGACGCAGACCACAGTAATGGGTTACCAGTTAAACCCGCACCCTCAGATTAACAAAGCGGAGTCATAACGTCTGCATTTGCGGACTAAATTTTAATAATAATTAAAGTACCATCGTTTATTTTTTTTTACAAGTGATTGTATGCATTTCATGAGAAATTAGCAGAACAATTTTATTTATATAATTCTATTTCTAACATTAAAAAATGCAGTAAATTCTAAGCAGTCACAATTTAGTTATAACATTTCATTCTTTTTCTCAAACAGGACTGCCTGTGATGACAGTTGTGATGACAGTTGTACCCTGGATGACAGTTGTACCCTGTGATGACAGTTCTACCCTGGACTAAAGTAAAGTCAGCATGGCCACCAAGCAAAAGAAATTCAAACCGCTCTCTATTGTGACTGCAGCTGCAAGGTCTAGGCAGTTTCCTGATGATTTCTACGCTGACGGGAGTCCCGAGTGTTATGTTCTGCAAACATTGCCATCATAGTGTAGACTACACACGATTAGACACTGTAAAAGACCATATCAAAAGTAAGAAACATATGAAAAGAAAAGAATCAAAGACAGAACCTTTAGGTGGATCATCCAAGGGGCCACATCAGCGTCAGATCAGTTTGGATACAGCTATGAAATCTAAAGATCTTCGAGAAGGGTTTATATTAAGTGTAAAGTGCTTTGTAAAGTGCTGCACCATGGCTGACATCCCTCTCAACAAAGTGGAGAATATGAGACCTTTTATGAGGCCTAACAGTGTTTATGTGCCATGTCTGGCTCATATCATCAATCTTGGTGCCGAAGCATTCCAACATTACCCAGAATTCAGCAAGGTTGACACTTTCACAAAGATGGTGAAGTCATCGTTCTTTAAGAAGCCAGCACGCAAGAACAGGCACCTCAAGTATGTCAGAGAATATCTGACAGCTGACCAGTGCAAGTTGCCCCATGTCCCCGTTTCCACCCGATGGAATTCATGGTACAACTGTCAAATATCATTCAGAACACCTCCATGTCTATGAAGGGTTCTTTAGACAGGAGGCGAGTAAAGGTGTGGCCGTTGAAACAATATTAGAGATGCTACGGAACAAGGACATCTACAACGAACTGAAACTCTACATGGGTTTCATCACTGAGCACAGTGCCCGTCTCACAACCGTACTCACCAGCCTAGAGGGTACAATGAAACCACGTGCCTGCACCGTTTTCAATGTTCTTGAAGATGTTAACGCATTCCTTGCTGCTGAGAGGATCATTTGGTGAAACTAACAAGCTGCTACAAGAAAACCCTCAAGCAGAAAAAGAGAAGCTTTGTAGAACTTTTAAGAACGTGTTCAAGACAGCAGCAGACAAGATCAACAAGCACCTTGACCAACATCCAGCTATGCCTTTTTACAAGGCTGCTCGGATTTTTGATCCGAGACAGCTTGGCTCCATTTTACTGGACATAGGCGACTACCAGCATGTCTTAACTGGTTTGATTACAATCAAACAGAGGCTCTACAAGAATGGCTAATATACACCCATCTAAACCCATTTGAAACCCCTAACCCTCTTGATCTTGCCCGTTTCTGGGATTCCATGTCTAACAGATTTCCTGATCTTGCGAGAATAGCTAATGATGCCATGTGGATGCCAGTCTCAAGTGTAGATGCTTAGCGTAGTTTTCCACAGTATGAACATATTTTGAACGACAAAAGAGAGAACTTAACAGCTGAAAACATCAAAATGATGACCATGCTGTATTACAACGGTGATGTTGAAAGGCAATTTTAAAACTCTGAACTGTGAGAAAACTGCACAAATGAGAAAGCACATAATGATGGTAAAGTGTGCACAGGTCAAGAATGTTTTGTTTCAATTTACCATGATAGACTTCATTGTTGTTATATCACAGATAAAATACATAAACATTCAGAATGGAAATGGATGTTTCCATAAATGAAGGTGCTAAAATACATTGGACAATTGTCACCGTTTTACATTTTAATAAACATAAAGGTTTGTTTTTGTATGCAAATCTTATGTAAACGGAATCTTTGTTTTTTCATGTGTACAAAGTGTATGGCATTACGGAATTTCAGTTTTTCAGCCACTTTGAAACGGAATTCATGATTTTCCCAAATGGAAAAGGCCTTTTTTGAAACGGAAAATCACTGTCCCTACATTTCAAAGAACTAAATGCCGAGCTACTTGTGCGACATGCAAACTGTCACATCCCACTCCTCTCCATTATGACAGAATCCCAAAGGAGAAAGGCTCCAGCCAAAGGAAAGATGATGACCCTGATCATGCAGTTTCTGCCTGCTGTGCCACTAATAGGGGCTATGCAACCTCTATGATAATGCCAGTGTGGGTGGCGTCAACATCTGATCCAGGCCGTGAGGTCCTTACCTACGCCATGATGGACACGCAAAGTGACTCCTCCTTTATTTTGGACACTAATATCTTGTAAGAAGAACAAGAAGCCATAGTATAATGAAAGTGTCCAATGCACTGTAGCTCACCACAAAAAAGGACAGCCAAAATGACGTAGAGTGAAAAGAAGTCAGTTTTAATTGAGGCAACCATCGGACGTAAGCATATATAGAAACGAAGAGTATATATGGGAGAACTCCATTATATACTCTGATAATTATTGTAATTTTTTATGTGAAAATGAATAAATAATATTATATAATAAATATAACATAATTTATATAACACAAAAATGAATGACAATGTCGGCTGTGTGACGGTAACCTGGCGCTAAATACCCGCTTTGAATGTTTCTTAAGCATAAATGCATTAATATCATAATTAATAACACTGATAATAATAATAGTATAAATAATATAGATTTCATGAGCAGGAATTTGCATTAAAAGATATTGGTCAATCGAAATCTTGTAAAACAGAACCACAGACAGATGTTGACAACCACAGACTGTATTGTTAATCTGCGTGTCATAATAATAAAATGCTATATAATTGCCAAGAACCACCTAAACCCGTAAATTTGCTTCTTTTTTTAAATATCAAAACCCCCATAGCCCCTTATTCATTCACATACCAAAAATGAGCAAAGGATCCACATTGTAACCTGAAACTGAACTAATCGGCCTAATTCAAAAACATTTTGCACCAAAATTGCCGTGGCTTTCGAAAAAGTACCGGTCGCGACTGGCGTGCTCCCAAAATAATTACGTTAATATGGGAGCAAAACCGAGTAACATATCTATACTCCCAAAACATTTCAAACATCCCGTGGTCAAACGCTTCCGCGGAGTTATCGTTGAAATCGTAGCCAAATGTGAACGCTAGGACTGGACGGACGGACGATGGAACAACACCATCGGCAAAAGCTCAGCTTTGAAAACACGCGACTGTCAAGGTGATAAAAAATTAACAGAGATCATGTCAGAAGTATTGTTCACATAATATAGTAATGTCTGTTTTGGTATTGATAAAGACTTCATTTAAAAACGGGTTGTTTAAGGATCTAATACCATAGCCGAGAGAAGACAAATTGTTAAACTTCTTTATAAAGTGTTTTTTGGGTTTTTTTTTTTAGTTTTCACGGTGTACAAAGTGTTTGAAGCATTCGACATCTCATTATAAATAAACATCATTCTCCATCAGTAAGAAGCGTCGTGTCCGACATTTATACCACACATATACCCCTATACCCATATACCCCTATCGGATAAGCCCCCCTCCCACACCCATCCCCCCGCTTGGTCGCTTCCCTCAGTCGCTTCGCTCCCTCGCTCAGGGGCTCGGCGACCTAACACAACCCCCACTCAGCCGCTCCGCTCCCTCAATTGGGCCCCCCTACTTTGAAAAAAAAGGTGGCGCTGCCCCTGGATACGACCCACGATGGCGGCACACATTGGTAAGCTGGATGCTTTCGACGAAGCTGTGGAGTCGTGGGACTCATACGCCGAGACTAGAAATGTTTTTTGTGGCAAATGAGATCCCTGACAGCAAGAAGGTTGCGTCACTCTTGAGTGTGGTTGGGCCCCGTACCTACACACTGCTGCGCAATTTGGTCTCACCGGATAACCCAGCTGATAAGGATTTTGCAACGTTGTTGAAGATGTTAAATGACCATATAAACCCGAAGCCATTGTCGAGCGTTTTCGAGTGTGTGATGACGTTTGTCAGTGAGCTTCGTAAGCTAGCTATTCATTGCGAGTTCAGCACGGTGCTAGCCGACACACTGAGGGACAGGTTTGTGTGACAGGTGTGCTGAGGCATGAGCACATACAGAAGCGGCTATTGTCTGAGGGGACATTAACGTTGGAGAGGGCGGTGGAGATCAGTGTGGCCATGGAGACGGCATCCCGAGATGCGGCGGAGGTGCGAGGCATGACGCACGCCAGCGTAAGCAAAGTGATGAATACGCATGCTAAGCCAAGCCACAGTTCCACACAGTTTCGTGGCGGAAAAGCTACAAATGTCGGCAGTCGGCGTGGATATAATACCACTGAACCTGTGGCGAGTACCTGCCGAACTTGTGCTGCCGATGTAATGGGAATCACAAGGCCAACGACTGTAGATTCATTGACAGTACATGTTATTATTGCGACAAGAAGGGCCACATTGAAAAAGCGTGTTTAAAGAAAAAACGAGACGGTGGACGGCCAGGTAGAAACATACATGTGCAGTCTGTATACGCGGTGCAGGATGACGGTTACTCAGAGGAGCCCATCTTACACCATTCGGATTTGGGTACAGTTAAGCACAGCTCACCCATCTATGTACATCCCAGGATTGAAGGAGATAATTTCAGTATGGAGCTGGATACGGGGACGTCAGTGTCGATCATCTCGGAGATGGACTATAGAAACTCCACGGAACCGATAGGTGTTAACCTCGAGAAATCAGGTGACATCTTGCGCGCATATTCCGGTCACCAGATTAAACCAATCGGGAAGCTACATGTTACTTTTCAACTAAATGGACAGGATGAGAAGTTGGACTTGCTGGTTGTACCTACAGATAGCCCGAGGTTGTTTGGTAGGGACTGGCTGGCCAAGCTGTGCATGAATTGGCAAGAAGTCACGTCGCTCAAGGCACTATCGACCAATAGCTCCAAGAGACTGGAATCGTTAGTGGAGAAACACAAGGTAATATTCCAGCCCGGAATTGGAAAACTGAAAAACATCCAGGGTTCCCTGACTTTGGAGAATGATGCGAAGCCTCGATTTCAGAAAGCTAGGACAGTGCCTTATGCGTTCAGGTCCAAGATCGAAGACAGGTTACAAAACCTACAGCAAGAAGATATAATCAAACCAGTCAAACACAGTAAATGGGCCACACCCATCGTACCGGCAGTAAAGAAAAACAGACAAATCCGCATTTGTAGAGACTACCGCATGACACTGAACCCAGTTATGTGTGTAGATAAGTATCCACTACCGAGAATAGAAGACATCTTCGCTAGTTTGGTGGGTGGACAAAAATTCTCCAAGATTGACCTAACCCAGGCGTATCACCAGATGGAAATGGACGAGCAGTCGAAGAACATGCTGGTTATAAACACGCACAAGGGATTATTCCGTTACAACCGCCTAGTTTTTGGTGTGTCAAGCGCACCTTCACAGTGGCAGAGAGCAATTGACCAGGTCCTACAGAACGTTCCATTCACACAATGTATGCTAGATGACATCATTGTGTCCGGTTGTTCGAATGATGAACACTTGAGCAACCTGAAGATGGTGTTTTAACGGTTGGAGTCATACGGACTTAAGGCAAACTTGGATAAGTGTGAATTTTTCCAAGACAGAATCAGTTACTGTGGACACGAAATAGATGCACAAGGATTGCACAAGTCTCCCGAGAAGCTCCGAGCGGTGAGGGATACAAGGAGGCCTGAGAGCATGACAGAGCTTCGTGCTTTTCTCGGTCTCGTGAATTATTACCACCGTTTCCTAGAGAACTTGTCGACAGTTGCGGCACCATTGCATGATCTGTTGCATGACGACAAGCAGTGGGAATGGACCCCTCTGTGTGAAATGTCATTTCAGCAAATCAAGGACATGATATGCTCTGAAAAGATACTGTGTCACTTTGATCCGTCACTGCAAATGAAGGTAGCGTGCGATGCATCACCATATGGCATTGGATGTGTACTCTCGCTCGTGTGTCCCGACAACACGGAGAGACCGATAGCGTTTGCGTCGCAAACGATGAACAAAGCCGAGAAAGGATACTCCCAAATAGACAAAGAAGCCTTGGCCTTGTATTGGGGTGTTCGGACGTTCAACACGTACCTGTACGGACATAGGTTCACGCTTGTAACGGACCACAAGCCATTACTCAGTATATTCAACCCGTCCAAGGCCCTACCCGTCATGCCAGCTGCAAGACTGCAGAGGTATGCGGTGTTTTTGTCAAAACACCAGTACGACATTGAGTACAAAAGCACCAAGAAGCATTTGAATGCTGACTTACTCTCGCGACTTCCACTGGCGGAAGTGGACACGTTCGAAGGAGACAGTGACCCAGTTGACATACCACACATTGGGAGGGCATTCCGGTGTCGTGTGAGAAAATCTGTACAGAAACGAGACGTGATCCAGTTTTGTCACAAGTGTTGGATTTTGTCATGAGCGGACATTTTCCTGATCAAATGAACAGCGATACGCACTTGGCAAATTTCTTGGCACGCAAGGACGAGCTGAATGTGCATCAAAGGTGTCTTATGTGGGGAAACAGGGCGATTGTCCCTGAATCGCTGCGATCCAGAGTTCTTGACGAGATACATTCGGGGCATGTTGGCATTGTCAAGATGAAAATGCTATCGCGCTCCTATGTGTGGTGGCCACACATTGACAGAGACATTGAGACAATGTGCAAAGCATGTAGGGGGTGCGTCTCAAGGCAGAACACACCGCCAGCTTCACCTGTTCCCCCTTGGAGTTTGCCTGGAGCACCTTGGTATCGGTTACATATCAATTTTGCAGGCCCGTTTGAAGGAGCGATGTTTCTGATAGTCGTGGATGCCTATTCAAAGTGGCTGGAAGTATTCCATATGAAGAGTACGACTAGCACAGCCACAATCAACCAACTGAGAACCCTCTTGAGCTTGTCTCAGACAATGGTCCTCAATTTCGTTCAGAAGAATTCAAGCAGTTCACGATGGCTAACGCAATTCGTCATACGATGTCAGCGCCATTTCATCCGAGAACAAATGGCCAGGCAGAGCGTTTCGTCCAAACGTTCAAACGTGCCATGAAGGCAGCACAAGGCAGTTCTGTAAACCAGAGGCTGAACTGTTTCCTATGCAAATATCGCATCACACCACATGCGACGACAAATGTGACCCGCTCCAGCATAATACGGACTAAGTCGCAAGACATTGTTTTGAGTAATGAGCACGCAAACATGTCAATGCTGAAAATGGCCTACCTGGACAAAAATGAGATTTTTACAAAAACAAGTTCCTAAGTGCATATTTAATCCGGATATATAGGTTCAGATATCTCTAGATTATTTGACCCACAATAAAATTAGTATTTTAGCAAGGACATGTTTGAAAAGATAACAAGAAAAACCTGAATTTTGGCTGAAAAAATCGCCAATTTCAAAGTACTCCTGGGGATTCCCTGGTAATGTCCCCATAGCTTATTTGGTATCAAAATAAAGAGTAGACTGGTACCCGGTCCCACCTCTCGGCTTAGTTACTCGATGGGTACTAACCACCGAGTAATCGAAGTGGGAGCGACTATCAGTCTAAATAAAGAGCTGCTTGCGCACTACATTATGGGAATATGGCTGCCGCCATGTTCACAAAAACTTTGTGATATTTTCTGTTGTTTTTGTCATAAATATCACAAAATATCGTATTTTTAGTCTCAAATACTTCAGTGAATGACAAGGAAAATGTTGTGGTAACACTTTGGAATTGGATGCAATTAAGAGTGGTGAAGCGGCTGCAAGGCTGCTGAATGAGATCAGCAATGCTAACATTGCTAGTTCAGTGCATGGAATTCAGACCGGCCCCTGACCGGGTGGCCCACGACTGGGCAGCCCACCTGATTGAAACCCCTGTGGAGAACACTGGATATGGATATTTTTCCTAGGTATGTGTTAGTACCAACATTGTGCAAAGTTTGAAAGCAATCAGACTGCATTTAATGGTTGGTTGCTATGTATTTTTGATTGACAATCATTGCAAAAGAGTGTGACATCTTTGGAAGGCTTTATCTCAAAAGCTGCATATTCCGGAATAAGTCGGTCTCCGATCTTCAAATTGCTGTAGATCGGTCAATTCTTTAGATATAGCCAAATATTATATATCATTTTAAAGGTAATTAAATTATCTATTCAGATATGCACATAATCCTGGTTTTGCTGGAGCGGGTCACAAATGAATCGCCATCTATGCTGCTGTATGGACGCAACATACTAACACGTTTGGATGTGTCGAAGCCGAATCTGGCACAGACAGTGCAACGTAAGCAGATAAACATGAACACTCGATATTCTGGTGTTCGGCGGCTGGAAGTGGGACAGACGGTGATTACACGTGATTATCGTATCAGTAGAAACAAGTGGGTGCACGGGCAGATTTATTCCCAGACAGGCCCACTATCGTACAAGGTCGACGTCGATGGTACTTTGTGGAGAAGACATCTGGATCAGTTAATATTGGCAGACATTAGTTCAGCAGCACCGCAGAACAGTACCATCCCGGAAATGTCATCTCCAGCGTTCATCTCTGGTGGTAGTCGAAACGCTGGTATCGGGGAGAGTGAGTCCAGTAATAGGAAGGCGACTCCAGCAGTGAGCAGCCCAGAGAAGACTCCAGCAGTGAGCAGCCTGGAGAAGACTCTAACGAGTCATAGAACACCACCGGTGACGGCAGTTCAACGCAGTCCTGTGGCAGCAGTCCGTCAGAATCCGGCGAGAATCCGAAAGGCTCCAGATCGTCTGAATCTGTGACTTTGTGACAATTTCAGTTATCAGAGGATTACAGAGATACTGATATATTTAGGAACTGTAATAAGGTATGTCATACATTTAGGAAAGTATAAACTAAGGGGAAAGGTATGTTATGTATTACGCTATGGCCTACGTTAGGACGCGCAGGGTTACCGCGCGCAGTGGTATCCAGTATATGTGGTATGGGTGACTTCGTTTTAATAAAGTAGTTCTTCTTGCAATGGAAGCCGTTCGCACTGGTTGATGTTTGAGGCAGCGGAGATTTGTTCTGACTAGTCCAGTGCCTAGACGGCCAGACTGGACGTAACAGACACTATGACTGTTTTATTTGTTGGAGTACTACATCAATGACATCGAGTTGTATGTAATGTATATTGTTTAATAAACAAGTCTTTGACCTTCGAGTTATATTCCTCTGACCTGTTCCTGACATCGCGGTATACCGCGGTAATACCCAGTGCTCAATTTTAAGGTTTATTTCTTGGTTGTCCGGAGGACAACCAAGAGAGTAGCATATGGTTGTCCCTCAAGAGTTTTGGTTGTCCAGATATTATTTAAACATGTGCTGCATGCGCTCTGCTCACGTGATGCTCAGTGCTGTAAAGCAAAAGGCCTAATCATGTACATTTTGTACGTATTGCAGTGACAGCAGACATGGCCATTCGCATTGTTTCACTCATTATATGAAGAGAATAAAATATTGGTAATGTGGTAAATGATGCTGGGATCAATGACGTATAATAATAGTAATTAAAAGTTGCATAAAATTTATTTCATAACATTTACATTAAGTTAACTAACACTACAAACATTACTAACATTACTAATGTTCACTGTGTCAAGTTACAGATGAGTAAAAATTGAAAATTAACAGGAAACATTGTTGTTAAGCACGTGATGTTATACTTTGTATCAAGCAAGCCAGACAATGCGTCTAGACATGTACGTTTGCAGCGTATTGTGCAACCCTGGCCGTATGTAAAATGAACGCGCGCATTATGAATATAAAATTTTTATAGAGGTTGGACACCGGACAACCACGGAAGCAATTTATAGTTGCCCGAGAGAAAATCCAGTCGTCACGGACGACCAGACGACTGTTAAAATTGAGCCCTGAATACCGTGTGTTGTGTCTGGATAGTAGCTCCCTCTATATTATTTGTCATATTCATGGCATAATATGACATGTTCCTGGAACAGGAAAATGGCATATTAAAAAACCATATTGGAAAATTACAACAGAAAAGTAAAGATAATGCCGAAACACTGGATGATCTAGAACAGTATGGGAGACGGGAAAATATTGAAATAACAGGAGTTCCCCAAGTAGAGAATGAAAACATAGAGAGAATTGTACTGACAATAGGGGAACAACTAGGAGTCCACATAGCTAGCAACGACATTAGCGTAGCGCATAGATTGCCAAAACCGAGAAATGGGGCACCTCCCGTAATTATTGCTAGATTTGTAAGAAGAGAAACTCGTGATAAGATTTATGAAGCTAGGAAGAAAGTAATCTCAGGGGATATGCTAGGATTCACCAACAATAGGAGTTTATATCAATGAAAGTCTAACAAAGGTGAAGCATGTATTATTTGTGAAAAGCCTTGTGTTCAGACGGGAACACGAATACAAATTTTTCTGGACACCAGCGTTCAAAATTGGTGCCGACCCGGAGGCCCGAGGCCACCAAGTTTTTGCTCGAGCCACCATCTTTACGAAACTGCCGGTCCTCCTGACCAGTACTTTTCCCCCTCATATTATAAACGGAAGCATATTCTAATGCGCTCCGTTTCTGACAGGGTATAAAGACTAGAGCTGAGGGCATGAACTGCCTCAACTCATGATTCGCCATACGAACAAAAACTCGCGACCGTCTAAGAAATCGATTGCGGCATGACGCATGTAGCGTAGCCGAGTGTTTTTATGCGTAACGCATAATAATAAGTTCCTATGTCGCAGGGGTTATCGTGACTGAATTCGTTACTTTTCTTTACGTATAAAGTGGACTATTTTTATTCAGTTAGATATCTAGAAGCAATGTAAACTGTATATACTTAAAGATTCTAGGCAGTTGTAACTTTGAGGATGTGCGGCAGCTTTGATCTATGCATGGGGGTACCGAGGACTGGGAAGGAGAAAAAAGAAAGTAAAACCTTTCCCAGAAGCTCCTTCGACATTCCTAGAGCTTGAAATATATTAATCAGTCTAGATCTTGATCATTTCAGGTATGGCAGTTGGCACGTATTTTACTCTCCGGGTTCCTGACTCTAGACAAGTTCTCCGTGAATTAAGTGATGATAGGGCAAGGCCAAGTGAATTAAAATGAATATTCGTTACTTCGTTCAGTATCACGTTCTAGTATTATTATTTCTGCCAATAATAATAGCAATATATGTGTGGATCTAAGTTATGGATAATCTACACCATGCTATTTAAATACTCCTACCTCTAAAAATCTGATTTTCATGCATCTTGGCAGAAACAATTCTCTTGGCTAGTCTACAATCAAACAGCCAACGTTCTTTTCTGCAAGCCCTGTCAAGCGGCCTATGGAAGCCTGGACATAGTGCGTCTTAAACAGCTTCCTGACATATATAAAAAGTACTCAGCTGGGTCTTTCGTAACAGGAGGGTCCTCTAACTTCAAGCACTCGGTCCTCTTACAACAACACCAATCAGAAGGACACATGCGGGCTGAGAAAGAAGCTGCCACAAAGTCAGCAGCACCTGGGTCAAGCGTGGCAGAGAAAAGCCTTCAAACATTAAATGAAACAAACTTTGCAAAACTGGAAATATTATTTCGCAATGCTCATGCTCTGGCTAAACATTCAAGACCATTTTCCGATTTTGTGTGGCACACTGAGCTTGATCGAATGAAAGGAGTCAATGTTGGAGAAACATATAGGAATGATAAATCATGCAGGAAGTTTGTAGGTGCGATTGCTGAAGTTGAGCGCCATAGAATTGAACAGGAAGTAACTGCTGCTAAGTTCATGACTGCCCTCACTGATGGTTCAACAGACATATCAGTCACTGAGAATGAGATTATATACGTTCGCTTCTCAACTCGTGGATGCATCAAAGTGTACTTCCTGGCTGTGATGCCTGTTGCCAAAGCAGATGCACAAGGAGTCTATGCAGCTGTCACAAAATCCATATGCACTGCTTTCCCAAATATAGAGAATCCCCTTTGCAAAATTTGTGGCTTTGGGCAGTGATGGAGCAAATGTCAATACAGGAAAACAGAAGGGAGTTATTGCACTTATGCGCAACCATTTAAACACTGACATTGTAATGGTAAAATGTCTGGCCCACGGATTGGAACTATCCTACAAAAATGCCTTAAAGAGCATCCCTCTGTATGACAAAGTAGTTGGCCTGCTCAATGATGTATGTGTTCTATCACAAATCGCCACTACAGCGGAGCTGTTTGTAACAAGCCTTTGAGGCAAAGGCAAAACAGCCAGTGATGCCAACACGCATTGGTGGTACAAGATGGGTCCCACATCTGCTACTAGCCCTGGAGAAGCTTTAGGATGGATACAGTGCACTGATTCTTCACCTTGGACAGGTTGCAGTATCAAGTGACCAGCGGCTACAACCTAAGGCAAAGTACTTGATCAAGCTATTGTTTTCAAAACCAGTCATAGTATTCTCTCATTTCCTTCAAGATGTGCTCGTTTCTTTATCGAAGCTTTCGCTCCAGCGTCAGCAGAGAGAGTCCAGTGTGTATGAGTGCCATGAACAACTGCAGGCTACTGTGAACCAAATTCGCAAATATGAAACAAGACCAGGGTTTCATCTCAGGAAAGTACTGACATCAGAGAATTTCCACAATCAGCCACTGGTGGGGAACATTGCTACCTTCACGTCTGCGCGCCTGATTGTGGTCCAGGCACTGGTAAACAGCCTAGAGGGCCGTTTCTCTGATACATCTTCAGATGTACTGGGTGCTACAAAAATAGCAGATTTGAAGTCATGGCCAGATTCACTAGAAGTGGACTTTGGAGATGAGGAGGTGGCTGTGTTAGTCGACCACTTCCAAGACCGTTTCCAAGCAACTGAGACAGATGTCCAAAAAGCTGAGGATGAATGGACATCTCTCAAACTTTCACTATACAAAAATCACAAGTTCAATGAGCTGTCTTGGCCAGGCATTAACGAGCGCTACCGAACACAATGTCCCAACATCCTGGACTTTATAGACTTCATCCTGGCTCTTCCAGCCAGTTCAGCTGAATGTGAGCGGGGCTTTAGTCAAGTAAAGATACTTAAGACAGAGCTCCGAAATCGGTTAAAATCATCATCATTGTCCGACGTGCTGATGGTCCAGCTAAACTCCCCTGGTGTTGGAAAATTCAACCCCACAGCAGCAATTCACCTGTGGAACTCTTTGGGACCAGGGTCAAGGAGGCCCGATTTCAGGCACGGTACAACGGCTATGCTGGAACCAGCAACTGCAGTAGTTGAAATGAAATCCGATACAGACTCTGAGTCCGACTCTGTCTCAGCTTGTTCAGCCACAAGTGACTATCAGCTGGATGCTGCAGTTGCAGAACCGGAGTGAATTGTGTGTTTAGTATAGGCAAGTGCATGGGCCCCCCAACCCCTATATTTGTAGGAAGTTACTTTTTTATTTTAGTCTTTGGTGTCCATTATTATATTGCTATGCCTATTGTTGTGTGTATCGCCATGTTTGTGTTTTTTTTATAATAAAGTTGAACATTAGATTACTCAGTTACATGTATGCTGTTAATGGTTATTTTTATATACCATTTTGTTACTCACTGGTAGTAAATAAGCGCACCACCAACTTTTGTGCAGGACCACCAACTTTCTGAAGTTGGTGGTCTTGCTGTCCACTAGATTTTCAGCCGAAATTCGAACCCTGATGGACACGCCACAGCAAAATCTTACTCAGGAAGAATGGGCATAGCGAAGTAATTGAAATCACATCTGAAGAGATACTAAATCGCCTGAACACATAGAGTTGAACTG